CCCTTTTGCACAATGAACTTATGGGCTGTTGAACAAATAACGTGTAATAAGAAGTCCGTGTAGTCGGAGGGATGTCGGATTTTTAGCTCCGTGTAGTATGGGAACCGTGTACCCAGAGTGCCGTGTAAAAGCGAGGGCCTACTGTATTTGTATTTGTGTAGGTATGTGCTATGGGTATGCATTTGTATATTATATATATGTACATATATTTTTAATTATAATAATTTAAAACAATTTTTATAAACAAACCTTTTTCTTTCATAGAATATTTTTTCTTCTAGCGACATCTATTTTTCAACTGGGTCCTATTCCTTCTCTTTGCTATTTGATATTTCATGACTCGTCAAGTTGACCTTGATAGAGAATTCAGACTCCGACGGTCGTTGGTGGGGCAATATAATGAACTACTTGCAACGGATAACACATGATGCTAATTAGGTTTCTATATTTTAGATTTTAAATTATAACACACTGATGATGAGACAAACCTAGTCTCAAAACGTTTATTTAATAAATTAGTGCAAAATAGAGTGTTGTTTGTTATATAAAAAATATTTCAAAATTAGGTCAACAAAACTATTTAAGTAAATTATCATAATATAATTAGGTAAATTCTGATAAAATAATATAAGGTAAACAAGTGCTAAATTGCAAAAAATTTCACATCTGTATTTATACAGGAAACTTATTCAATAAAGATTGAAATTGATTACTTTTTAAATTGTTCAGCCAATCTTCACTAAAATGATCTGCAAGGCTTCTTCTCAACTGATATCTTTTGAATTGAAAATTAATCTAAATACCTGCATATGCAAAAAATATCAAATTTACCTCCTTAGGTATATAATTTAGGTGAAAGACATTAATATCACCAAAGTTTTAAATGCATCAGGAAATATAATTTCTTGCACATTTAATTAATTAGTTGCACATGTATGTTTAAAGCCAATGAAAGATTATTGTACTTGTTAACGATATATTAAAATTTATAATTTCATAAATAAGTTTACAACTTTTATAATTTATTCCTAATTTTAATATTAAATAATGTACAATATACAAAAATACAAATTAACTGATTAGGCTAAGCAGAAATAGTAGATTTACATTTACATGATCACTAAGCTATAAATCATTACATTAAAATATAAATAAATGAATGCAATTACATTTAGATCTTTATTGTAAATTCACAAGTTATAACAATGTAAAATGTTCCAGTCTTCTCAGAAGAAGCAAATAATATAAACTTTCATCTTATAATACACATGTAACAGACAATTATTATATATACACACATATATATATACACGTACATGTTTTATATACATATATATATATATATATATATATATATATATATATATATATATATATATATATATATATATAAACTTCCACACAAATTACTAACAAATTTAAAATCTCTAATATTGTATAAATTTTAAGTAGTTACTCTAATTTAATAATTATAACAATATATAAATTCTGTTTACATTATAAATATATATATATTCTATTTAAGATAAACGAATTTACTTCAAAAACTTATAGAAAATGACTATCTAAAATATAAAATCACTCAGGGAAAGTTGCAAGTTTTAACTTAAAGAAATCGTAAAAGTGAAATCAAAAAAATGATTGTTTACTATTACAAAACTGTAGGAACAACTACAAAAAGCAACTTGATTGTATAGAAAAAATTGAAAAACAAATATAGGCACAATATGAGAGCATTTCAGCTCCGATATGTCAGACATATCAATGAGTACGTTGGTTAACATTGTTAGAGGGTCCAATAGTATCGCACCTTCTATAATAAAGTAAATAAGGAACCCGTGGTTGTCTGGGATGCAACACCATATTCTCAGTGACTGCCTTAACAACACTGTCATCGTATCGTATCCAGCCATTAAAGCCAACATGGAACACATCGGTAATGTAATGCCCCTTTGAAGCTTCTTTTCCATCATGGTAAACAACTGCAAATAATTTGTATTGACGCTGTTTTACCGCATACTTCGTTTTAGTTGACATTAGCTTGGGATCTATTTTAAGGTCAATTGGAAAATCAACATTTTTTACTATTTTTGTACAACCATCTAACTTGTAATCAAACCACTTTAGATGTAAAATTAGTACAACTGGCAGTTCTTCTAAAGAGACTTGTTGCCAAGCCTCAACCTCTTGGTTTGTTTTAGAACAAGTAACACCTTCCAATTGATCACGTCCAACTAATAATTCCAATGCTTGTGAGACAGATGCCGCTTTCTATAATATAGAAAAAAATCTATTGAAACCAAATTATACAAAAATATTTTTTATACTATGAATGTTACCACTTCTGTATCTCACAAAACCCTTTGATGAATAGAAAAGAATCTATGCACCATACACAAATGAGATTATTTTTACTATTCCCAAAACTATGACCATGAGTGAAAATAAACTGTCAAACAGGTATCTTGTTTGGGTTCAATTTATAGATTTTCGTTTTATTTATACTTGCCTCTATATCTAATTGAAGTGTGAAAAAAGGCTGCACACTATCAGTCGTCAAATCGCCAGCCCTTTGAACTCGTGATCTTAATTGACCTCGAAAATATCACTAATTGGTGAACGGCCAAAATATGACCGCCTAGTTATAGAACCTTTATTTTTTGGACCCATTACCTATTTAAAAAGGTTTTTAGAATTAATTATAAAAAAATATAATTATTTTAGATTATATACATATATATATATATATCTATATATATAAAAGAGGATCGCCTTATGTGCTACCACTTATAACTAACGAACGGCTGAACCGATTTAGATGAAAATTGGCAGGGAGGTAGTTTAGAGCCAGGAGAAGGACTTAGGATACTTTTTATCCCTTTATTTCATTCTAATTCAAAATTAATTATTTATAAACAATCCATGTAGTTTATTCAATCTATGATACTATCAATGATTTCATCCATGACATTTACATTCGATTGTCAACTGTCATTCGGTGTTTCTGTTTTGATACAAATATATTAATATGCATTTCTTAATGACCATTATTTGAAAATTATTACGTGAATAATATAAATATTTTAATAGCCACGGAAAATTAATACAAAGTGGCAAATAAATCAATTCTTAATAATACCAAGCGATGCTAGATGGACGATGGGGAAATTTATTTCTTGAAAATGGAAATGTAATTATTTATATAATTAAGTATTTATGTATATTTGTTTATACGTATTTAAATAGAGTATTTGAGGTGTTTATATTATATATCAGCAATAAGTATAATCATCAACAAATTAATAAAAAAAATATTCTGAAATATAGTTTCTTGACATAACCTCAAAATTTGTAATAAAAATGTAAATAGTTATACATTAATTGTTAATTTGTAATTTCTTTATACATATCTTATAAAATGTTTCAGGTGTTTACAACTAATTGGCATATATATATTATCAGCAAATGTGCTTTGATTCGACAATAAAAAGGTCTAATTGAAGTAATCGACTACCTTAAGTTAACTATAGTGATAGAATATTAGTTTTGGTTCTCATATATTATAACCCAGCTATAAACCTCACGGAGCCCCAGACCTTTCCAGCAAATGCAAAATTGTCGAATTCGGTTTGTGCATTCTGGAGATATATCGTCAGAACTTATAACTCAAGAAGGCTGAACCGATTTAACTGAAAATTGGCTTTGGTAAAGTTGGTAAAAGTTGGTTCAGAGCCAGGAGAAGGACATAGGATACCTTTTATCCCGTTCGACTTCGAATAACAATAAGCAAATGACAGCTATGTAATCACGTATGGATGACAATTCAATATTTGTAAGGAATTAATAATAAAATTATTTATTTTAAATAAATAATTAACAATTATAATATAATGATAGTGCCATTGCCCATTCGTATAAACAGTGAAGCGAACTATGTATAACTCAGTATGGTTGACAAATCATATTTTTCTCAAACACAATGCTCTGAAAGAACTCATTTGTATAATTATGTACTCATTGGTATTTATAAAACCTTTTCTAGATTATTCAGATTTAGAACCTAAATTTGAAATCGATCAAAGAAACATTTTGTCGAATAGCTTATTTCCAGTTATAATTTCCTGAATTTATTCAAGAATGGATAGTAATATATGAAGATCCACGACCGAAGTGTCAAAAACCAGTAAAGCTAAGCATTGTTTAACAACAGTATTTGAATGTTAAGGGAAAATATGTATAATCAGCTATAACCTTGATTCTTATGACTTTGGTATTGGGAGATAAATGGTAATCTCTGAAAATCCATAGTAAAAGTATTTTCTTCCATTGGTAGTTTCTAGCAATTAGTTGAAAATGTAATTATTTTGTAAAATACTTTTGAAATTAAAATATGACATTAGACCTGCTTGCCATCTGGCCGTTCCAAGTTACCCCGTTATAGGGTAAAAAGGTCTAGATAAAAATTTTTTTAAAGACAGCAAAAAAGCACGTTTTTACAATGATGAAGTAGCTGGTAGTTTTACTGAACGTAGTCAGATAATTGTTCATTTGAAATGTGTCATTTGTTGTGATGTAATTGGTTTGATTTTCATAATAAAATTATATTTGCTTAAAGTCAAATTGGACCTTTGCGCCTTGCCCTGTTCTACATATATACTTTTTATTAAATTTACTTTTATTCATCGAATATTACTAGAAACTTTTCAAAAAGCAGGTCAAAAAAGAGATACTAAATCATTTTGTATCTCTCCTCGCAGAAATTTGAAAAATTTGTATAAGCTCAATAGTATTATTTACAATTATACACAAAATCCAGAATCCAAAAAAAAAATTTCAAAAAATTTGAAACGCATTCATTAATCGATTAAATGGAATTTGTAATGACTATATAAGTCGAAAGACCAACAAAGACTTGGATGAATTATGCCATGTTTTCTATAGAAAGTGTATAAAACTTTCAGTTTGGTTGTATTAATAAAATATATACAAACTAATGGGGTTTATTGTTTCTATAATATCTCATTGTATATAGCAATTCAAACAACACATCCTTACACAAAAAGTATTAATTTTTTAGATACTCTAGAAATTGTTTATAAAATAACTTACTTAGCAAAACAACGTTTGCCGGGTCAGCTAGTATATATATATATATATATATACATATATATATATATATATATAATGTATTTATAATTTTAATTTTAGGTTTGTATGTTTCACTACTATGTCATCACAAATGATTGTGATAACTACTCTCGGAAACCTTTGAGATTAGCCTATTCAGGAATTCAAGATCAAAACGACCCAAAAACCTTAAAGACATGTCTCAAATTTAATCTCTCACATGTGTAACGCCTCTATTGCCATGACAGAAGGCAAAGCTGCTGACTTCATGTGAGAATGTCTAAATAGATTTTAAGCTTACCTTCCATTCATCATCATCATCATCATTAGCATCATCATCACACTGTCTATGCCCATTCACCATATCACCATTGGACAGTTGAGCTTTTTCTTCAGGTTCTACTAGTTTTATGAGCTGTAAGTAATATTGAAGTATTTGAATCACTATAAATATTAAGTGAAAACATTGAGGAATGCCACGGTTCCAAAGTCAATTTGAAATCAAAAAATTAAATTGCTTCATACATGTTTTTACATAAAATTATATATCAATTTGTAGTACAATAAATAAATTATAATATGAGAAGAGTATTTATGAAATTAGATTGTTAAAAAAATGAAGGGAGGGGAGGCATAGAAAAGTTGGAAACTACTGGGATAATGTATCAAAGATTCCTTTGGTCAACCACTATAATAAAGTGGATTTCCATACACATTCAAAGAATTAATGTTCCCACCATCTGCACACCTTCAGAAATACCAATATTTTCTGAGGCCGGCTTAGTTAAGTGGGGTATAAAAAATTTATTATACATATACGTATGGTTTATTTTTCATGCAGCAAATTTAAGTTAAAAATGCTGAATCAATTTTGTTATAAAATCAGAATTATGTAATATTTTTCTGCTGGCATTTTCTTTGTAGCATACGTGTTTTACTTTAAGATAGTTTTGACTCAGTGCATTTGTGTAACTTTGTTAAAAATTACAAATTAAAGTAATTTATGATGCATGCCATATAATGTCATAGCCACATTCATACTCATTTGAGTATCATTGATTTAATAAATCTTTACCAAGTCTTAATTAATTATTCTATATTAATAAAGATCTAAAGTTAAATTACCTCCACCATTTCATCATTTAATCCATTAAGAAGGCAACTCAAAAACTCTTCTGCATCCTCTTGTCTTCCTTCAACCTGGAAAGTATTTGGATGGAAACCACTAAGCATTCTGTGAATAACCAATGGTTCAAATGGTGGACCTGTGGACACATCTGGTAATTCATCTTTACGCTGGTGACCTTTTTCACGACGACCAACTCGAGCACCAGGAGGCAAAGGCATAAACTCATAAGCTAATTGAGTCCTGAAATTGAACATCTTAAATTAATACATCTAATATTATGCAAAATTAAATTAATACAATGTTAAAAAAATATACATATATTATTATACTAATAAACTATCATAATGGAAATATTTATACTTTCAGATGGAATGGTTCCATAGAAGTTATGTAATTTGAGCCATATTTGACTCAAAATAAAATAGCAAGATTCTATTATAATATTCATGCAAAAATAAAGTTATTCCAACAGCAATGCAAGTATTTGGCATAAATACTGAGGATAATGTATCAAAAATTCCTTTGGTCAACCACTATAAAAAAGTGGATTTCCATACACATTCAAAGAATTAATGTTCCCACCATCTGCACACCTTCAGAAATACCAATATTTTCTGAGGCCGGCTTAGTTAAGTGGGGTATAAAAAATTTATTATACATATACGTATGGTTTATTTTTCATGCAGCAAATTTAAGTTAAAAATGCTGAATCAATTTTGTTATAAAATCAGAATTATGTAATATTTTTCTGCTGGCATTTTCTTTGTAGCATACGTGTTTTACTTTAAGATAGTTTTGACTCAGTGCATTTGTGTAACTTTGTTAAAAATTACAAATTAAAGTAATTTATGATGCATGCCATATAATGTCATAGCCACATTCATACTCATTTGAGTATCATTGATTTAATAAATCTTTACCAAGTCTTAATTAATTATTCTATATTAATAAAGATCTAAAGTTAAATTACCTCCACCATTTCATCATTTAATCCATTAAGAAGGCAACTCAAAAACTCTTCTGCATCCTCTTGTCTTCCTTCAACCTGGAAAGTATTTGGATGGAAACCACTAAGCATTCTGTGAATAACCAATGGTTCAAATGGTGGACCTGTGGACACATCTGGTAATTCATCTTTACGCTGGTGACCTTTTTCACGACGACCAACTCGAGCACCAGGAGGCAAAGGCATAAACTCATAAGCTAATTGAGTCCTGAAATTGAACATCTTAAATTAATACATCTAATATTATGCAAAATTAAATTAATACAATGTTAAAAAAATATACATATATTATTATACTAATAAACTATCATAATGGAAATATTTATACTTTCAGATGGAATGGTTCCATAGAAGTTATGTAATTTGAGCCATATTTGACTCAAAATAAAATAGCAAGATTCTATTATAATATTCATGCAAAAATAAAGTTATTCCAACAGCAATGCAAGTATTTGGCATAAATACTGAGGATAATGTATCAAAAATTCCTTTGGTCAACCACTATAAAAAAGTGGATTTCCATACACATTCAAAGAATTAATGTTCCCACCATCTGCACACCTTCAGAAAAACTAATATTTTCCGAGGCCGGCTTAGTTAAGTGGGGTAACAAGATTTGAAGATTATAAATTTAATATAAAATCGCATTAATCTTCAAATTGCTAATATCTATAAAAAATTACTTACATAGCATCTAGCACAGGGGTTGAGCTTTTGCTTTTCTTGGAGATTTGATGGGGTAATGCCTTTAGCAAATTATATAATGGAGGACAAGCCAAAAGAGCTTGCAAAGTAGAATTTATATAACAGTAGTTGGACCGATTTGTTAATCCTCTAGGTTGTAAGCTAACAGTTCTATTATCCAGATTGTACTTTGAAAGAAATTCTGAAAAAAATAGCTTTTGATACATGCACAAATATCAACTAAATAAAACAAATTTATACAAAACTTACCTCCAGCTCTGTATGAATTAGGATCATTTAAAAATGTTGAAGTATTGTCACTAGTAGTATGTACAGTAACTTGTGATTTATTGCTTTTTTGGGTAATTTGATTTTGAGCTCCTGCAGTCATGCTATTTTCTAATGGTTGCACCACAGCCATTGGTTTGATAACTGAATTTTTTGAAGATAAATCTCCTGGATTTATAGAGATGGAAGCTGAAATGGAATCTGATAAAATATCAGATTTGTTAAATAAACTAGCCCAAGATTTACTCTGTGAAGCAGCAACACTTGTTTCAGCTTGCAATTGTTCAAATGCTGGTTCTAAGCTTTTATTAACTTCACTGCCTTTATTCTCATTATTGTTCGGTTTAGTTGTATTTGATTTCACATTTATTGGTTTATTCTTTAATTCAGAGTTAATTTCTAATTGAACCCCAGGTATTTACTTTCAGTAATCTCATTTGTTGGTGGTGTATACAATTTATTATTAACCCACACTGAATTAGGAGGAGTTTGAGATTTTGGTCTATTGTCATTTATCTTGCTTGATTGGAGTTTCTGAACTTCCTGTGGTTGTAGAGCAGGAACAGTCATGGTATTCTCTTTTGTAAGTGCTTGTTGTGAGCTTTTGTTTTGTGAAGGTTTTGTTGATTTTCGACCAACTCCTGTTTTTACTATGTCTTTATTATTTACAAAAAGTCCCTTTGATTTTGGATTTGAAGCATGTTGTGATGAAGAGTAGATCTATTTGAGACACAGTCCTTGATAGGTGTATTAATTGCTGAAACAGCTGCAGCACCTGCAACAATAGCATCTGAAGCATCCATAACAGTAGCATCTCCAGCACCTGCAACACTAGCAACTGTAGCAGCCATCATATTAGTGTCAGCAACACCTGCATGATTTGGAATACTATTTTCATCAGCAACTCACAACGCCACCTTCAGCAGCATCCGCAACAGATGCATATTCTATTGGTTCTACAATAGAAGTAATAGCGGCTGCATTTGTAATTGGAACAGATTGCTTTAGGCTAACCTCTTTACTATTTTCCACAATTATGGATGAAGTCTCAACAATAGAAGGTGGATATTCAACAGAAATAGACGCTTTATTCTCATTACTATTTACTAAAACATCAACCTGAGAAATTTCTTCTCGAATTCTATTTGAATTTTCCGCAACAGTATTTGAGCCATCAATTCCCAGAGGTGTAATCTGATTGCTATCATCTAGTACAGCACCGTCATTCTGATTTATTTGAAAATCAGAAACTTGATTAGTAACTTCGGTTGGTAAACAATTATACATTTCCTCACCTTGAATATTCATGCCCATCATATGCTGATGTATTTCAGAAGCTTGGGGATACATTTCTAATTCACAACTTTCAATTTTGCCAGTAGGATCCATTAACTGATACTCAGGCGGTACACTCACAGGCGAATAAACCATTCCGGGATGAAATTGATATAAATGAGGCATTGGGGCATACATAGGCACATGTTGACCAACATAGATTGGTGATCCAGTAGCATGTTGTGCTAAATGGCTTTGAGGGCCAGTTGGATAATATGCAGATTGATAAGGTATGGGCATATACTGATAGTGATTTGGTTGCTGCTGCTGCTGTACATCCACCATGTCTTGTTGCACATGCTGTTGCTGAATTTGTTGTGACCTTTGCTGCTGGTAATCACGCTTGTTGTGTCCACCTCGACCGCGTCTTCCTCTAGGGTTATGCTCACGATTATGTATGGGTCTTTGAGATGAGACCTCAGGCATTTGCTCAACTTGCCCTTGAGGTATGAAGGGCACATAATGTCCCAAATAACCATGAACATTCACATTGGCAGTTACATTACCAACATACACATTACTCATAGGAGCTGGCTGCATTAGATGGTACATATGTGACGGAGAGGATCCTGGTGGTTGCATGTTGTATGGAGGAGCAGCAGAATATATTGTGTTTGGTGGAGGACATTGTGATCCAACTCCAAACTGAGGTGAAACTGCTTGATGATCCCCGTTCATTGAAAAGTCTGACTCAGATGGAGGTACAGAGGATCCACTATTTAATGTGGATAGCCAGTCAGATTCTGAAAATAAGCATATGCAACAATGTAAATACACATGTTTCATAAAAATATTATTTTTATGAATATAAAATTTATATGTTATCGAGATGTTGACTTAAATACAAAGAACTAAGCAAATACTTAGGCTATATTATGTTTAAACATAAATTAAACGCAAGAAGTATCTGATTAACAAGACTAGTTTAAAAACTTAAAAAAATTACATTTAATATATGAGCTATTGTTATATTGGGTTGTAATTGTCTCACCAATTTCTTTGATTGAAAGAATAGTTTCTCCAACAATCATACACAATAGTGAGATTATGTTCCCACTACGAGCACACCATACAAAATAAAAAAAAACTTTGCAGGTCGGCTTAGAAGTGTGGGGTATAGACATGCGGGGTATATATGTTTCTTTGAATTGTAATGTAAAGCATAAATCAATGCTAAGATAACAGTTATAACCTCATTTTATAAGACGCATATTAATTGAATTACTGAACTGGAATATTGAATAAAAAAACATTAACAATGGCAAACTCACCAAATGTACCTTCATTCCAAACTCCAGAGTCGGATAAATCATGAGAACTTTGCTCTGACGGAAAAAGAGTGTTGTTTAACTGGCAACGTTCACTTTCATCTATATCAGTCAGATCAAGAAACTCATAATACTCCTATAATTAGAAAAATTGTTGAAGGTTATTCCAGTAATAGGTAATACTTCATTATTAATTGAAAAAAATATAATAAACGTGATTTTTTTTCACATAAATAATCCTTAACCTCAAAATGCATGAAATAAATTTATGCACTTAATCGACATGCTGTTTTTAAGATATTAAAAGTTTCGAGACAACAGCAGTTATAACTTAAACAAAATAATTACTTCGCAAAAATAAATGTTATAGTAATTATTGAATTGTATCAAAAATAAGATTAGAAATATTTGAAAACCACTTGAGAATATACAGTTGCTTACATAATTTGAACTGAATCAAACCAAATAGCAGAAACGAAGAAAGTTCCATGCCATGAGGCGTAATGAAAATAAAATCCGGCATGGACATGAATATATTAGCCTATAAATATTACATAAGGATTCGACATGCTATTGATTTTGTACTCACCGATTGCCCTGGATCCATCGCCTTTGTAACTAACTCATTTCTGAAGTGTTGTTAGCACTTTTCGTTTACCGACAATTAATATATTCTACCACATGTAATCATCATAGTACCAAAAAAAAACCTACTAAATTACGGCGTACGGCCAGCTACAAGCACTTTTCGTCACCAAAAGACACAGGATATGCAAAACCGGATTACCAACAAAATCATACCAATTATGATTCATTTTGGCGCGACCGCGACATCATTAGGAAAGAAGTTGGCAGCACGGATCCAAACAAAATTTAAAAAACTGCGCCAACTCGATTAAAAATAGAGGTTACAAATATGATTCAACAACAAAATTCATAATTTTATATATAAATATAATCTTCCAAATAATATAAATTAAAAATTGTAAACTTAATTAAGAAAAAGGAGAAAAACAAAAAAACAATGCTATATTGCACTTAATACTAGATTAATAAAAATATAATATATTATTAATAATAATTAATAATATATTATATTTTATTAAACCACAAAATGCAAGGAAGAAATTACTATAAAAAACTAATTAATAATAAAGTAATTAATAATATTTTGCTTTTATCAGGGAAAACAGCAAAAAAAAAAAACAATGCAATCATAGGCCAGAATTATTAAAAGAAAACTTGTTGGCTCATCTCCTCACTTTGACAATAAACATAACATACATAAAATGATCATAATGACCAAAAAGCCATAACCATACTGATTTTTAAAAACAACGGGCAAAAAAGATGCAAATATAACTATGGCGCTCATAAAATTAATACTATCCCAAAATAATGCATACATTGGAAATATTCATAAATCTGAAAAAGGTATTTGACACAAATCACAATATTTCGATTACAATAATTTAAAATAACTTACACATTCTGACTTACTTCCTTGATTTACTAAATTAGATAATTATTAAATATGTAAATTCACACAAACCTTTTGTAATAATTTTCATTGCATATGGAGATTTAAGAATATAAATAAAATACTTTTTGGATGCAATAATGCATTTGATTTTATATTATATTTTTAACTTATTACATCAAAACCAAAGTGTAATTCTCCTTTCTTTATATTGCATGAAACACTGTATTGTAGAAAATCACACTGGTGAACCTGTTTTGGACTTGGTATTAAATGTACACCTTGTCTTGTAAACATATCCCATTTTATTCTATCTCCTACTTCGATTGCATTTTGAGGGCCTGTGCTCCATATATTCTTCGTTGTTCCATCCAAGTGCCAATCAACCCACAAAGCAATACCGTTACATACACCATTTCTGTTTAACAAATAAAAGCAATTAGTGATCAAATTAATGGTTGCATAATATTATATATAGATATATGTATATATACATACATTCCAAAATTTTTTTTGCCATTATAACAAAGTGCTTTAATTTCCTTTTCTGTAAGACATAATTCTAATATCTTCTCAGGTTTACCTAAGCACTTGCTTGGATACTCCCATAATGGTTGAGGTTCTACAATGCAATCAGTAAGATTACTTGAACTCTAAAATTATGAAAATACTAGATTTAAAAAATGCTATTTTAATAGCTTCTTCTAAATCCATACCTCGATAAGTTTATCAAAAGGTTCCATATCAAAACCTTCACATTTAAATAGTGGTGCTCTGATCTTATGCAAATCTCTGAACTCTACAGGAACCATCCAGACAACACCCTTTTCTGGAATGACCCTAATGTTCTCACTTTTTATATTTTCTTTAATATATGCAAAATAAGCATTATCCCAAGGAAGCAATGAGGATATAAATGAGGTTCAGCAAATATTAAATTTATGTTGTGTATGCAATTTTGAATTTTATCTGCATGATCTAATATTGTTACATTATTAAATTCATTGTGCGATATATAGTTTTGAATTGCTTTGGATGATAAATAATTACTCTCCAATACATAGACATGTTTGGCACCCATTTTTGCTGCACCTAATCCCAATAGTGAACCATCGCTTAGTACTAGGCATACTGTGTCTTGATTTACATGTTCTCTTAAAACTTTTGAGTACAGTTTATTTCTTCGTCCATCATTAATTTGACCAATTCGAGTTCTTGAATAAGCACAATGCATCATACACTCGCATATCGGTGCTTTAAAATCCAAACTGGTTAGTGGTTTTGATAATGGTAATACATTGAACCACATTGAATATTCATCATGAGAAAATAATAAATTAAAATATTCATTATTATTAAGTGCTACTTCATTAGGAATATAATAGAGAGCTTGCATCCAATGATCTCTCCATGGAATAGTTTCTTGAGGATATTTGCCATTTTTGACATCAGGATGAGCCCAAAAGGGTGCGCAGCTAAGAAGTATTTCTTCTAGAAATGATGTGATGAATTTCAATTAGTATATTCTTATAAAATTATTTATAGCTATCATTTCATTATTGTTAATTTCTTACTTCCTTCATCCATTGATAATGTCCACCACATGAAAACAAGTTGTGCAATACCATTTGCTTTACTTTGGGTTTTAATTGCTAGAGAATTATTCATTTTCAGTTCAGTTTTTCCTGACCAATCAAATGTTACTACAGGCACCGGATCAGATAATAAAGTCACCTATAGAAAAAGATTATTCAAGAAAAATATTTTACAATAAACATGTTCATTCCCTTTAGTATTACTTGGCTAAATGGAATTTGAGATAACTGTATGTCATGAACAGCTGCTGACCCGGCACAATTTTGAACATTATGTGGAGTTCTAATAATAATTTCCCCATCGGCATCTGCTAAATCCTTCAATTTATGCCATGAATGAGCTACAGGGCATTGCACAACTTGAGCATAAATTGTTCCTGAACATGGTATTACGATAGAATCCTTTTCTAATAAGTACTTATGTGCATGAATAAAAGTTCCAATAGCTCCTTCACCTATACAGAACCAAAGCAATTAAAAATTTATCAAATTTAGCTAATCAATGTAAAATACCTATTAACTCAGTATCAAAAACTTCTGTGACAAGAATATTAGCCCTCTGTTTCATATCGTAACTATCACCCACTATTATTTCTGTTGATCGTTTAGGAATTATCTTAATATTTTGGGAAAAACCATTGTTTTTAATAATATTGGCGGCACAATTTGCCATTGGTTTGAAAGACTCACAAGCAGTCACTGAATCTGCACCACATCGAACAGCCATCATTGACAACAGACCTGTGCCTGTACCTATATCTAAGACATTGGCCTTTTTTCCTGATGAATGCATTTTATCTATTGCACGTTTTAGAGCCAATTCATATTTCTGGTTTCTCTCAGTGTCATGAAGCATATCAGCAAAAGCTGATCTAGCAACTTCTTGATGATAGTCATAATTCTCTGGTTCTTGTTCCCACTCACATTTACCAGTCAATGGATTTAATCTTTGAGCAAAAATACTCATATTAGAAAATTTTGTTCCAGGCGTTTTTGAAAATATTGTGCAATGTTTTTGCAATAGTTTTTGTAAGAAAACAATAGAAGACTTTTTGGTTTTCAAGAAAAACATTTACTACATCTAATGATCTAATGCAAGGATGTCAAACTCAAAGGTGCAATCGGGCCGCATAAGCATGGTTTAACTCCAAGCGGGCCGCATAAGCAAGGGTTTAACTTCACGCGGGCCGCAAAAAAACTATATATATATATATATATATATATATATATATATTATATTAGATATTATAATATATTAGATATATTAATATATCTTTGCAATGAGTCTGTTGATTCGGGCAGTAGCACTAAATAAAAAAAAAAAACTAAAGCAATTAGGAAATATGCTTCATTAATCCATACGTTTCGATCTGCATCAAGACCGTCATGGTTATTATAAAATTACTATCCTTTTAATATTAACTATGAAATAAGCTTGACAGAGTCTGAAATAATATCTATTATTATTGATTACGGCTTGCTTATGAATAAATAAAAATAAAAATAAAATCATTTGTCAACATATGCGGGCAGCCGGGCCGCAAAAATATCTGCTGCGGGCCGCATGCGGCCCGCGGGCCGCGAGTTTGACACCATGATCTAATGTATACAGTATCATAACCTTAAAAATTGAAATTGCATGCGTCTGGCACACGATCCTCCTCGTAGTGATATTGACAGGTACATGAATCCTTCAGGCAGTGTTGCCAACATAAAACATAAAACCAAAAGCGTAAATATAAAGGCAAGTGCACCAACAACGAAAAGTAAAAACCTAGTGGCATCAACTAGAACTAGAACACCATAAACATCTAATTCTGATCTAGGTGAGACACTAACTCTGATAAAAGTTTTAAAAGATAACCATAGATACATAGATAAAAGAAGAGCATAGATAAATAAGGTGGTTTTGGGCTGGGTGGTTTATAGTAATCAAAATCTTATTGTGTAACACTCGATTGTCTAGGAAGTTTCATTGTTTCGTTTTCATTATATAAAAAACTTTTTATTTGTTAACGAGAAAAAACGGTTGAGTAATAGGGAACGGGCAAGCTCATAAAATGTCAGTGAAAACGCCATGACTTCTCGGGGTGGCGAAAAAGTGCAAACAAGGATTCCAAACAAGATGGCGTTTGACAGGTTTTATTTCGTATTTTGACAGGTTTTATTCAAACTTATGTGCTTGTTAAAGATGGTTATTGCTTCTTATAATCGCAATTTTTATTTATTTCTAATAATAATGCGGCATATCTGAGTCACCAATCATGTGCGTATATTAAGTGAAGAAAGCGCATGAATAAGAAAGTGAATTTTGTTATAATTAACGTTAGAAGAAATAAATTGCTTCGTTGGATAGATTCATTGAGGTATGTACTCATAATTAAAATGTATTTGCTATTGACCACCATATTAAAACAAACATGTGTTGCTTAAAGGTATGATAAAATTTTCAGACAAGGCCATAAGATATTTTATGATTTGCATGTTGTGTTATCAGCTGAACAAAGTTTAGATCTTTCTATTAGTACTTTGTTGCAGAATGAATCTCATATTTGATAGGATGTCAGGACTTACAGGATTTCTACACTGCAATTTGATTTGATTTAATTGTTTTGTATTATTGCATTACTGCAGGTATGTTTTGTTTTATTGCATAAAAAGATATTACTTTTAAAAGTTTTAGGAAGCTATTGTATCAGTATATGCACGGTTGAAGAATTTCTCCAAAATTTTATACCGATGAGCAGTATTTGCTAATATTGATAGAAGAGGGTCTCCTCCATAGATTGGTAATTATTTGTGTGAATTTAATATTACATACCTGTTAAAATTTTATACTTTAAATTATATGCTCTCAATGTTTTTTCTTTCAGATTAATTTAGGTACATATAAGAAGTATTCATCTTTGATTTCCAAAAGCTTTCAATTTATGTATTACATATAACATTTATGTACAGTTAATATTATTATACAAGCTAACAGTCATGATACATATATATTTAATCTAATATAAATTAACATTTCTTTCATTTACCATCCCCATCTTATCCAATAATGAAAGTTTGAAGATTCACCAAAATAGGACATAAAAAAACAATATTTTCACCAGAAAATTGATAGTCCTTTGGTATATTACATAGAAGTTTTAAAATTTTCATTCTGTGTATGACTCATTCTACATGTATACGCACACTAGCTTCAAAGTGAGTTTAATTAATATCTCCTGGTGAAATAATCCGTTTTAAATTTAATTTTAAACAAATAGCATATGCACAAGTACTGCTATATTTATTAATTTGTCTAACTCAGTCCATATTGATGAAAATCCTGACTATAAAGTACAATTAAAAACTTTGTCTTTTTTACTCATGAATTTACCTTTGTCAGTTAATACAGCACATCCAGATTTTACTTTTTTTTATTACGCCCGAGAGTACATTAATTTGGGTTGGAGTGATTCTGCCTAAGCCCACATTATTAACAAATGAAATAAAGCCATCTGGAGTGCAAATAAATAAGAACCTACTTTCAAATACCCTGGAAACTACCAACGAATGAATCTGAAAAGTAAAACCTAAAGCAATATAACTAATTTCTAACTTTCATAATTAGTGTTTTCTAAGAATCAAACTCACAAATGGATTTTTAATAATGTTTTTATGCATGTAAATATGATCATTTAAGCAAATATTGATTTAATTTACTAAAGCCTCTTCAAACTTTGAACTTTCAATATTTTTCTGATTGAATATCCTTTCCTGAATGTAAATAGTATGCATATTGGTAGTAGCAAACAAAATTTATATTTTGAATTTCATTATTCTTACCTCTGTTATTGTAAAATCATAAAAAATAAATGATGAAAATATGTAAGAAATATGAATTATTAAATGTTTAACCTAAAAATGCACGTTTTACGTCAAAACAAATATTAGTTGACAGCAAATTCAACTCATAAATGTGTCATCCGCCATATTTGTTGGAATCCAAGTTGCACTTAAAATCCGCTAGAGGAGAGCTTGCCCGTTCCCTATACGGTTTACCGAATTATCGCTTATTATTTTTTAACCATCCATAGATAAAAATACATCTATATGTGACTAAGTAAATATACTGAGTGACGCTTTGTATACGTCAAATTTATAAGTTTGTGTTTTGTCGTGGTTTTGAGCAAATACTTTTGAAATGTAAATATACAAGTTGTTGGTATTACCTTTCGATATAGTTTGCTTTTAATTTTGTATGATTCACACAGGTATAATCGTGAGCGAAATGGACGAGGAGGTGGAAGTGGAGGCCATTTTCGTGGTGGTTCAGGAGGGCGTTCAACTTCTGTGAGATCCACTGCAACTCGTTTCAGCGGTGCCAGATCTTCTACCGATCGTGGCAGTAGTGGCCGTAGTAATAGAGGAAGCTCTAGAGGTAGTATGGTTCGCAATGGAGCTCAAAATAGAGAATCCTTCAAAGACAAGCAGCCTGGTGATAGATTGCGCAAAGTTAGATGGGACAGCTATGAACTACAACCGTTCCGGAAGGATTTCTATCAACCACATCCAAGTGTTGTTAGTAGACCTGCAGAAGTAACAGAAGTATTTCGTAATAAAATGGAAATAACTGTTAAAGGTAACAATGTTCCCAGCCCCAATATATATTTTGAAGAAGGTAACTTTCCTGATTATGCTATGTATGAAATAAAGAAGCAAGGATTTGAACAACCAACAGCTATTCAAGCTCAGGGTTGGCCAATTGCACTCAGTGGCAGAGATATGGTTGGTATAGCACAAACAGGTTCTGGTAAAACTTTGGCTTATATATTACCTGCCATAGTTCATATTAACCATCAGCCGCGACTTCAAAGAAATGATGGACCATTGTTCTAGTTTTGGCACCTACTAGAGAATTGGCACAAACAAATACAGCAGTAGCAAATGACTTTGGCCAATCTGTACATGTTAGGAACACATGTATATTTGGTGGAGCACCAAAAGGCCCACAAGCAAGGGATCTTGAGCGAGGTGTGGAGATTGTTATTGCAACTCCAGGTCGTTTAATTGATTTTCTTGAACGAAACACTACTAATTTACGACGTTGTACTTACTTAGTATTAGATGAAGCAGATAGGATGTTAGACATGGGTTTGAACCTCAAATAAGAAAGATAATTGAACAAATTCGTCCAGACAGACAAGTACTTATGTGGTCTGCTACTTGGCCAAAAGAAGTTCGCAATCTAGCTGAAGAGTTTTTACATAATTATATTCAGATTAATATAGGGTCTTTGAATTTAGCTGCAAATCATAACATATTGCAAATTGTTGATGTTTGTGATGAATATGAAAAACAGAACAAATTAACAAGATTGCTTACAGAAATTTCTTCCGAGTCAGAAACTAAAACAATCATTTTGTGGAAACAAAACGAAAAGTGGATGAAATAACTCATGCAGTTTGCAGAATGGGTTGGCGGGCAATGAGTATTCATGGTGATAAAAGTCAGCAAGAAAGAGATTATGTTCTAAACTCATTTCGAAATGGCAAAGACGGAATCTTAGTAGCCACAGATGTGGCTGCTCGTGGTTTAGGTAAGCAGAATGGTAATAGCAAGTCAGGCGGTGCTCAGGTGAAACAGTGTGTCGTGTGTAAAACCGAATGGCGTGGCAATGGCTGTTCTTCGCCAGACTGGTTCCTGATTAATCCCATCAATCAGTCATAATAGTCTTCAGCAATACATTTGGTTTCAATCTAGTTAAGCCTATCTTTATCTGATCATTTCAGATTCTCGATTAGGATTTATTGATATTGTAATGAGCATGAGGTTCAATATTCTGAATATGAGTATTGTAATTATGTACAGAATAAGCATTGTGAAATTTCACAAGGTCCAGTTATGTATATTATGTATTAACAGTCAAGTTATGTATTAACTTGTGTTCATGCTATATATGATGCAAATTATGTAATCAGTCTGGTCGCTTTCACAGAGTTATATGTTAGTGACATAGGCAAATTGAGGTCAACTGCCTGTATGTACCAGCAAAATGAAGATGGTATCTGTGTCCCAATGTGATAGTTATATAACACAGCAGCCACGTTTTTTCAAGCTATCGCCACACAATACTCACCTATATCGTCTGACTCTCAAAAATAAATGTTTGCATTAAATTGAAACATGTGTAATGAGTGAATTTTGGTTTATAAGAAGTAAAATGGGAACAGCAAACTATAGTTGAAATATGTAGCAAAATAAATTCAGGTAAATAGTTTAGAACACACAAAAGTGTTTTTCTGATTATATTTGGGTGATATTGTACAAATTTGTACAATTTTTAAATGTGTTATATATACACACTTTTACAATTCATATTATCAGTTTTTAAATATATTAAAGACAATCTTTTTATATTATAATATTAATAATTCTTTTTTATCATATTATCTTAATAATTTCGATGTCCATTACACATTATCAGTGTATGCAATCTTCTTATATCATTTATATTTTTATAAATTAACTTGATAACTATTATATAGATGTCGAAGATGTTAAATTTGTGATAAACTATGATTACCCATCTAATTCTGAGGATTATGTGCATCGGATTGGCAGAACAGGCCGTTCACAGAAAACCGGAACAGCCTACACACTATTCACAGTACAAAATGCAGCTAAAGC